CGACCCGAATTTAATAAATATTTACCTCAACCTACCCTGAATTCATTGTTTATGCTTCCAGTATCGGACACTGAAATTATAGACATTGTTAATGGCTTTAAAACTAATAAAGCACAGGGACTCGACGAATTTAGCCCAAAAGTTATAAAACAATCAATTTATTTTTTAGTTAAACCTCTTTGCCATATATTTAATTTATCTTTAAAAAATGGGGCTTTCCCAGATCAATTGAAATTAGCGAGAGTCTCCCCTATTTTCAAAATGGGTAGGAAGGATTCATTGTCCAATTACCGACCAATATCTGTTCTTTCTGCATTCTCCAAAATATTAGAACGTATTATTTACAATAGAACGTATGCTTTTATTAAAAAAAACGGTATTCTTTTTGATAAGCAATTTGGGTTTCGTAAAAACTTTGACACATCTATGGCATTAATTGACTTGTCCAACGAAATCGTTGATGCTTTTGAAAACAATATGTTTGCAATAGGTTTATTTATTGATTTATCAAAAGCGTTCGATACTATTAACCATTCAATCCTACTCTCCAAACTGTATCACTATGGTATCCGTGGAGTTCCTCACGATCTTTTTAGGAGTTATTTGACTAACCGCTACCAATGCACAACGTATGGTGCTCACAATCTGATTACTTGCCTATTAGTTGCGGTGTCCCTCAGGGCTCTCTCTTGGGCCCCCTTTTGTTTCTCTTATATATAAATGATATTTATAATTCTTCAGCATTATTATCCTTCTTTTTATATGCGGATGATACGACTATATTTTGTAGAAATAAAAGTTTAGAATCATTATTTCGTATAGTGAATGCAAGCTTGGGAGAATTATCCGAATGGTTTCTGGCAAATTGTCTCACTATAAATTTAAAGAAGTGCAACTATGTATTGTTTAGGAGTACCCAAAAGCCAATTAAACTAGGTCAGCTGCAGATCAAACTCAATGATTATGTTTTTCCTTTGGTTGATCACTCTAAATTCCTTGGAGTATCCATTGATAGTCGTCTATCATGGAAACCCCACATATTCGAAATTGAAAACAAAATTGAAAATTGCAAAAAATATTGGTATAATATATAGATTGGCATCATTTCTTCCCAATAATATCCTCCGTACTCTCTATTGTTCCCTTGTTCTTCCATACTTGTCATACTGCAATATTGTATGGTGTAAAACATTTCCATCTAATCTAAATAAACTTCAAACACTCCAAAACAAAATCATACGAATAATCTCTAGCGTCCCACTAAGAACTAGTACTGATCCCTTATTTCATTCTTTAAAACTATTAAAACTTAAAGATCTTAATACACTTCAACAGTGTTCTTTTGTACATAAAAGCTTTTAAACTCCATTCTTCCATCTCATTTACGTTCTATATTTGCACCCAATAACGAATTACACGACTATAGTACCAGAATCTCAAATAAACTCCACATTCCCAAACACAAAAAAACTTCATTTCAACATAATATTAGATATACTGGACCTAAAATATGGAATTCGCTCCCTCTAAACATTTCTGATGCACCATCCAAAAAAATCTTCATTTCTAAAGTGAAAAATTATTTAATCAATAATAATATTGATTAAATAATTTTCCATATGTTGATTGATATTTTACTATTTAACAGTAGCTTTAGTTTTTTTTTCCTTATAATTCCTATTATGTATGTTTTTCATAACAATTTTTCATTTATATTTTGAAATGCTCTATTATCATTATTATTATTATCCTTTTAAATGTTTGTCTTTTTTTCTCGTTAATGTGTTGTTAATTGTCTTGGGCACATCCATCACAAGCTCTGCTTTTCGGAATTGTGCCCCCTTCAATACTTATGTTATTTATTTGTTACATTTCAATGAATATTGTAATTTACGTTTTGAAGGAAATAAATGTTAATTTTTGATTGATTGATTTGATTGAATTTGAATTTTTGTGTTATTTTTATATGACTGAATGACTTTTTTGAATTTTTAATTAGAATTTTTATGTATTTTATAGAATTTTATAGTACATTTTTGTAAATTCAATTGTATTTTTAATACGTGATTGCAGTAAAGAGAAATGTAGCTGCGGGCCAAACAAACTTAACAACTGACCCGGCCACAAAAGTCCCAGGGAACAAGCGTATGTCTCGTAAACACACGAGTTTTATTTAGGGCCTACGTCTATGCTGTCCTTTTGGACCATAGCGACAATATTCAAGAAACGGGCAGTTTATAAAGGAGTATTACTTACCATTTGTTGATCTTAAACATTGAATTTAATTAATAGCTGAATACTTTATTAACCAAAAGTTCAGACGACAGCCTACATTCGATCGCCTCATGAATTAGCATTAGCACTTACGCACATTTTCCGCGGGATTGAATATCCCAATAATTGATTATAGCTCATACGCTGTCTTGGAAACGCTTATGATCAATAATCAGATTGTTTTCGTAAAATGAACAATTTTACTTACCTTTTTGCGATCGATAACTGTAGTTGTCACGTTAATTATTTCCTTAAACAAAGATTTAGAATAAGTTAGATTATGAATTTTAAGGACTTTTTATTACATTACCTCTGTACAAATAGTGGAAATACATGTGGGTTATTTTTACCCATATGGCGCTTTAAAATATACCTTGTTATCATTGCTTTGTTAACTGCTGTGAAGTTAATATTGTAATATTAGTTGATATTAGCAATTTATAAATCACTCATTTTAATATTTAAATGATGTGTAATCTGCATATATGTACAAACGTTAGGTTAATTCATTTTTATTTTATATATTCTTTCTTTTTATATTATACTTTAAATACATAGTTGTGTTCATGCTGAAGGAGTATGTTTCTGTAAAGATGTAAAAAGTTCCACATCTACTGTTTTGTTATTTTCCAAGTACCACTGTCAAATACACACCTCTGTCATAACCTTTGGCTCCCTATTCCCTACATCCTCAGACGCTGATGACATTGATAGCAACATTACTTCTAAATCGTCGATTTCGTTGTCAGTAAGATCGCGGCCTTTTCCTCTGTCAACGGCAATGGCTGATACTTGTAAAATGTCCACATCGTCTGTTCCGTTGAATAACTATTGAATTTAAATGCGTTTGTTTAGGAAAGACTATCATTAAAATTAGTTTATTGTTATTGGTAGAATTAACTCAGGGGTCGCTCCCGACAGATAGACCACGCCCACATATGTCCTACCAGCAGTGAGGCAAATATACCGAAAATGTCACATCTAGATGTCCAAAAAGGGCACTCTTAGACTTGCTGAGAAAATATTTTAATTAACTGTTCCCCAACAGATTTTAACATGACCCCGCGACAACTGGGCCGGGCGTCCTGACGGGGGCCCAGCTTTCCCACCTGCTGGCGCAACCTTTGGTTATATACTTTCAAATGAACAATGCAATACTTTAATTAAATTCTTACGAGGTTTGATCCTAATTTACAAAAAAAAATATCAATATCAATTGAAAAATTTACAATTGTCTTTAGATCTGTAAAGGCAACTCGTATCTTGACTGTAAATGTGTGTATCATCGTGTTTCCTGTTTCGTCAGTAGCTGTATACGTTACCATAGTAACGCCGACTTGGAACGTATCCCCAGGTTGATGAGTTGATTCAAGGAGGGGTAATACTCCCGAATTGTCGGCCGGATATGGTGGGTCCCAATCAACTGTTACGTTTGAATGAATTGAGTCGAGGAATACTTGAACATCATCGGTGAAATTGGTAAAATACGGTAAATCAACATCTGTATTAAAATAATAGGTATTGTTAATGGATGCTGTTATTTATTAATATCGTAAACACACATAGGCCAACACAATCGGCAAAAACGCAGTAACAGGGCAATTGTCATACCGCTAGAGTGGCTACAAAATTACTAATTGCGTACCTATTATCCTATGATTTATTCTAATACAATTTTTAGTTTGATCTTTTCTGTATTTCTCATTCATACGTGTAAACGTTAAAGGGGGACAGAGGCATGTCCGAAATATTGGTCTTGAATAAATGTATGTCTCTATTATTTTAACGTATGCAATCGTTTCATTTTCGTTTTGCGCA